ACCAAACAGGGTGGGAGCAGATCATTCTGCCATTTTCCTAGGTCTTTCAGCTGCACATGCAATCTAGGGCTGATCTTGCTATGCTTGTTTAACCTGCCCATGAGGGTCACAAAGATTTCCCCGGTTCTGGTATTGTCTTCGTTAGGGTTTTTATTGTAGTGAAGAGACACTATGACCACAGCAACTCTTTATTTTTTTTTCTTTACAGCAGAATTAACAAGGCAGTGACTAATGAAGTCACTAAATTTAATTATATATTCTTCAATCATTTGATAAGTATGTCAAATTGAACAAATTGAATAGTATTTTCAGCCACTTAGATAGAGTTAACTTCTACAATAGAATTTTACTAATTATTGAATTTTATAAGAAGAGGTTTAAATAGAAAAAAAACACTATAAAATAAATTGGAGAACAGTACACTCACATATTCACAAAGTCTCTACTGTCTGTCTTCTCTACTGCCCTTTGCTCTTTGTTCCTGTCCTGTCCTAGAGTGCAGACCACCGCTGTTTAGGAGTTACTGAGGTCTAAAGTACCTCTGCCCTTTCTCAGCTAATCCTAGAAACTAAGTGTGACTTGTATTTTAGAGATGATAAATGTGGCCAAGCAGCCATTTTGCCAAGGTTACACACTGCAGTTATTAAAACTTGAGCTAGGATCTTATAGCAGCCTACCCAATCTGCTCATGTTCTCTGTTGCTTCGTGGTTGGGGGCCACCATCCGGGCAGGACTGGCATGGGGCACTTTCTTGACTAAGGCTCTTTAGATTTGAAACTATTCAGTGGCAAGGCCAGCATTCTCTCTGGTCCATAGGCACTTAGGTTCCTTCCCTACAGCTCTGCAAGCCTCCACCTCCTGTTCCCAAGGGATTAGAGTTGTTTCCTTGGCCTTCCTGGGCCTTGATACCAATCAAACCCATCTTGAACATTAAAGTAGTACATAGGGAGCTGAGTGCTTGCTTAACTGTGTAAGTGCTGCTCAATTTAACAAAATTATCAAGGAAATTTCTAATATATATTTTCACACTGGGAATTGTAGGAGCCAATATATTTCATAATTACAGCTATATATCTAAGTTTATATATATAAATATATTATATATAATATATTATATATAATTATATATTATATATATATAATCAGAGTTCATATTTTCTCTTCAGAACAACAGCAGTATTAGGGTTAATTCAGCCAAATTGTCCCTTATACCCTAGTTAATAATAACTCTGGATGTTCAACAGTCGTTCACATAGACACCATAAAACTCAAAACTGAGATATCCACCCTATAGAAAGAGACCAGGCTTTACTAAAAGTATGTTTTATTTACAGTCTAACCCAGCACAATCTATATTTGTTACACTCCTAAGGTACCCAACTCTCAACAGGGGACCGTTCATTATGAGTCATA